TATATTTCCCTGAATGATAAAAAGAGAAACTTCTTTTTAACGACAAAGCAGTTTTCTGCAGCTCCCTGCCAATATAATACATTACAAAATTATCTGGGGATATTTCATTACCCTGCAAAATTCAACCAATCCTGAGACTCAAGACAACCTACAAAGTTACTCTTGCATGGCCCCATGGGAGTCTGACGACCAATCAGAATACATTTCTTTCACAGAAACAGGAAGCAAGTTCAAAGCCCAAGAAAGTGTGTGTGTGTGTGTGTGTGTTTGTTTGTGGGTACTTATATGTATGGTCAGCTTTGTTCGGGTATTTTCCCACATCATTATAGTTGTACTGTTAAAGTTGTAGCAACGTTTTGGCAGAATCTCATCTGCCATCATCAGGCTTCTGGTTGTGTCCGTATCTATCTATCTATCTATCTATCTATCTATCTATCTATCTATCTATCTATCTATCTATCTATCTATACACATAGATATGTTGTGACTGGAAGGGTTGAGCCTGCTGTGAGTTTTGAATCTGATGCATCTGAAGACGGAAGGTTTGAGCCTGCTGTGAGTTTGGAGTCTGATGTATCAGAGGACACAGGGGTGAGTGATGAGGAGGATGAGAGTGTGTCGGAGACACCATCATCTCCAGAACCTTCCACTTCATTCATACCTCAGGTGTCAGCAGCTGATCCACAAAACGTGCCAGAGGCTTCGAGGATGTTGGCTTGATGTTAGAACTAGAAGAAGATTGAAACATCAATCACAATTTGAAAAGAAACGTCAAGCCAGAGATTAATTAGACAGACTGACACGCCCCTTCAGGGAATATAAAGAAGCGTGCTAGCTCTTAATCCTTGTTCGAAGCAAAGTGTCTTTTGGTTTGGAGAATGCATCTGACTCTCTCGGCTGCAGTGTCTTGATTTATAGTTAGCTCGGACTTGCCAGACAGATTCCAGGAAGACTGCCAAGGACTGTGTAAACAGAAGCAGTTAACTCTGCCGTGTCTGGGTTTGTCTGTTTGAGCATTTGAACTTTGGAACTTTGGATTCTCACCTGTGGATACAGGTGAGACAGAACATATATATATATATATATTGCTGGAAAAAAAGATCACTACATAACAAATGACCCAGGAGATTACAGCACAAGATCCAGGATATCTCCACAACAAAACTCACAAAGGTCATCACACAGCCCATTATACCAACATCAACTCCATCAACCAATCAAGAGGCAGCAGCGCAGCCAACCAGCCCAGCACACCAGCCCCCCACCCCCAGTATATATAGAGAAACGGCAGCTCTGATCACACACTGCTTGCACTGGCATGAAGCCGAAAGCACCAGCCTGAGGATGGCAAGTGGGACCTCGCCGAAACATCGCCAAGATACTCTTAATCTTACATGGGAAAAAGACTCGAACACACCTAGACCTATCTATATATCCACTCCATGTGGTCAGCCCAGGATTTCAAACCATGTGGTCCTGTCCAACATTAAATCATCTTTCCAAATATCTTCCATGTTTCCACTTGGAACTGAACCCAGATGGACATTTCTTCCAACAATTTGGCATCCCAGATGGGGCTTCAAGCTAACCTGACCAATGGACCTGGTCCGGATAAGCCACCCTTGCTAGCAGCAGACCCATTGAGTGTGTGGGTGAGTTTTCCTGGCCATTTGGAACAAAGATTTTAAGGGGGTTTTGAGTGTTGAACTCAAAGGCTGCTTGGAAAGAATGTGAGTACCTCTAAAATTTAATTTTATAGCCCAGAAAAGCATTGGAAATGTGTGCATGCCTGTGTGTATGTGTGAGGGGATTCTTCTCCCAATTACAGCTGGATCTTGCTTCCTCTGTGCTTTTTCTAACCACAGAAAGCAGAGCCCAGAAAGTATAGGGGGGTCAGGTCAGAGCACAGGACCTTCTGTTAGGGAAAGGAGAGAGTGTGTGAAAATGGAGGGGGGAAGTGAATGAGAGAGTTGAATTGGGGCAATTAAGCTGCAAAGTCACTGAGCAAAGCCCTAAAAAGGAGGGGGGATCCTTACCTCTGGGAAGCATGCAGAGATCCTCCTGGACTTTAGTGAGTCCAAAAACTGAGGCAGGAAAAGGAAAATGGCCAGAGAAGGAGGTGCCCATACTCACTGTGGGGAGCAGTGGAATCCTCTCTGACTCCTTTTGATCTGCAAACTGAGAGCAGAATTCCCTCAGAGAGGATGTCCTTACTATGTAGAAGGAAGCAGAGTCCTCCTAAACCCTTTTTGGTCTAAAAACTGAGACAGGGCGAAAGTTTCACTAGAAAGCCCAAGATTTGGCAGGATCTGGCAGAGCTGAATTGAATCCCTACATCAGAGGAGAAACATGGGATATTCTAGCTCGAGGATCATCGTAAGCTCCCTGGGAGAAGACTTGCTAGATGCCTGGGGCAGTTGCTTGTCCAGGTGGGCATGAAAAGAGGAAAAAGAAAAAAAGGTTGTGTAAAGAAGTGGATTTTGCTCAGGGATGAAGCTAGAAAACCAATTTGGCTAAATAAAGGTATTTAAAAGAAAAGGGAAATCTATACATACGAATATTGGGGTTTTTGTTTGTTTGTTTCTCTCTCTTCCTCTCTGTCTTCCATGAAATCATGTGGTATGTTTGTTAAGATATTTGCCTTCCCTAATTTAACTGAGATGGTGGGAATGACCAGTGTGTGTAAACCTGAGAGTTCTGTTTTCCTGTTCTGTTTTTCTTGTCTTTGCATATATATGTGTATATAAGTCTTAGTATATTCTTGAGGTAATTGCAACTGTTAAATGTCTCTGATCCCTAGAGATATGAATTTTAAATTATTAGAAAAGAGTTGGAAGCACTGAAAGGAAAGAAAAAGCCTTCATTCTGTTTTGTCTGGCCCACAGAACAGAGTGAAGAAACCTGATTTTTCTGCTGCCTCTATGAATGCCTGCATCAGAAAAATTAAAAGCACCCACCAAATCTCCCTGATGTGATCAATTTTTAATATTTTGCCAATAACATGTTTGTTCCACCCACATATTTTGGCAAAAAGGGTGGATTGTAGAAAGTTAGCACCCATCCCTCTCCAGAAGAATGAAATGTTCTAGGAAATATTAAAAAGGCAGAATATTATATTTCCCCCGAAAAGGAGAAACATGTTTTTAAAGACAAAGCAGCTCCCTTCAGCTCCAGGTTGATGGGATTAAGACATGGCCCTCTGGACATGATAGGATTAGCCCTCTGCTCATCTAACAGCAGGGCTCATTACATTGCAAAATCACCTGGGGACATTACATCACCCAGCAAGAGTCAACCAAGCCATTTCACTCAAGACAACCTACAAAGTTACCCCTGCATGGCCCCATGGGAATCTGATGACCAATCAGAACACATTTCTTTTACAGGAACAGGAAGCAAATTCAAAGCCCAAAAGAGGATATAAATCTATCTCACGCTCCACTCCATGTAGTCAGCTACCTAGGAATTCAAACCATGTGATCCTGTCCACCATTAAACCATCTTTCCAAATAGCCTCCATATTTCCAGTATCTTTCTCCCCACTTGGAACTGAACCCAGATGAACATTTCTTTCAACAAATGACTATATAAATCAATTAAATACATCAATTAGATAAATATTCCAGTCTTCCTGTTTGTTTTTAGAACCTAATAATGAAAATGACATGCTTCCAATAATTCTAAGACTACATTGATATACTAATAGCAATAATAATCAATGTAGATATCATTAATAAGGTATTTAAAATTTCAGTCTGCTAAACTAATAAAAGTATTCCAAGTTATTCTTGATTATTTATCTGAGGTCTCATGAGAGAATAGGACTGGATCTGCTAGGATAATTGCCTGATGTAGGATTTTTAAATCCTACTATAGCTATGTTGTCTGTTACTGAGCTCAAATTATACAATGCAATCATTACTTCTTCAATAGGATTATTTTATTATTTTATCAAGCAGGTGATAGACAAACATCAGGCACACAAAGTAAGCTGCTAGGATAAAGGATGTTATCTGCAGTTATCTTAAGACACAGAAATTTACTCAAATCTGCTCACTAAATAGAAATGAATTTATTAAGGCAGAATGTTTCTGGAATATCTGCCTAGCATTATTTGTCAGATATCACTGGTAATCTGTATTTCCTTAATTTGGGATATTCATTGGTAACCCTCCTATCTTTTGCCATTGCTTCTTTCATATTATTACTGCACAAATCTATCAAATAGAATAATAATTTCACAGTTTCTTTTATTGATACCCCAAGAAGCCACCCACCAAGAATGGTCTTCATTCAAAATATTTTTATTTTAAAAAAGCAAGATCTCTATAATGGCTTGCACATTTTTTTACTTCACAATTTTTTAGCCTATAGCTGTGGAGTTTCCTAATGGTCTCCCATTCAAGCAGTAACCAAAGTCTGATCCTGCTTATCTAGATGCTGTAACTTGATACTGTACCTGACAAGAGACCCAAACAGTATCAATTTCCTTCTGTAATCTTTCTATGATTTTCATTGCTTTTTTATGCTGCTTCTGTTAAAATTACAGTATCAGCTATAGTGACAGGCAAAGACAAGAGGATCCTAATGAAAGACAATTGTCTGTGCCACCGATAAAACTCCATGGAAGAGGAAACTGTTCAACAAAAAATAACCGGATGATTTAGGGCCCTCGAGAATCACTATATCGTAAAAACACTTCGGGATACGCAGGTCAGAAAAATATGGGATTCAAAGTAAATTTACCCAGCAATACCATACCGTGCTGAGGGGGACATGAGGGTTATATCTTTTGCGTAGCCTCCCTCTCCCATTCCCCACAGCCAACACCTGCCTTGCTCTCTTCTCCCAAGAACGTTCGCCTTCTCCCGCTTCCTCAGTGTTTGGCTTCTGTTGCTAGGCGAGAGCAGCTATGCTTCCGTATCCTGGCTGAAGAATTCTGGGAATTAAAGTTCACGCATCTTTCTCAACACGGTATTGTACAGATTGGCGATGACGTAGGTAGCGTGGGCCGCCTTAGTAGTAGCTAGCGTGGCCGCTTCCTCCGTTCTAAAAGCCGAGAGTTCGAGAACGTTTTGCGCGGAGGTACGTTGCCAGGAGGTTAGAGGGGGGCTCCGACCATCACGGTTCTCATCAGAGGTTTCGCCTATCGGCGTATTTAGAATTAAAGTGTTCGGTAATCCGGCACCCAATATGTGTACTGGGTCAAAAATTTAAATTGGAAACGTGGGTCGGGGGGACGCTTCCGATGTTGCTGGGAATAGAGTTGCAAGGTTTTCTTTGCTTGCAAACTTACTAGGCAGCTGGAAATCCAATAGAATTCCAAGTTCATGCCAAAGAAAACAATCTGCAAAACTTCACTCCGTTACGGAGTTGTACTATAAAAGTACAAGAGGGTCCGGACAAAAAGCTGTGGCTTTTCTAAAGGAGAGACACCCAACAAAAAGACTTAATTTCTAATGTTAAGAAAGAGCTTCTCCAGAGTCACGGGTAATCTTGATTTTCACTTTTGTTTTCAACCCCTATTCAGTCGTCTGTTTTAAAACAGGCCTACGAGATAGAAAACTAAGGGTTAACAGCGTTCATTCAGGGTTTGGTTGGTTATTTCTATTGCATGTAACCCAGACATACACAGATACTTCAGTTCCTTGAAGAATCAAAAACTCCCAACACTGATCTATCAGCAAGATGCATTTATTTTTAATAATTGTAATCTGCAATAAGTTGTGGATGTGCTAGCAATTGCTTTAGGGTAGTGTTTTCAGTCATTTGGAAATTGGATGATGATTTAAACAAAGTTTTAGTTAGTTTCTGAAACTAACTTTTTGGAAAAAAACATGGGTGATGTGGTGTTGAAATCAACTAAATTTGACTATATTACAACAGTGGGAAGTTTGTGATTAGTACTGAGGAGCAAATAACATGGGTTTTGTTATTTGTTAACTAACATACTTATCTTGTATTTTAATTTACTTTCTCTCTTTTAAAATGTTCCCATTTAGTAGCTTATAACATTGCTAAACTGATAAGCTGGAGACTACCTCCAGATAGAAAAGTTTGTTAGTACAACTTGGCTTATCTCTTTCCTGAACTCTAAACAACTCTTTTCCTTACAATTATGCCCCTTCTGACTTCAGACCTCATTTTAATGAACATGTGATATGGGATACAAATATGTAGCATGTTTGACTATATGTAACTGATTCCTATGCAAAAGGGAAGTTATTTTTATTCTGTCCAATCAACATTTACATTTTCTTTGTTAACAATTGTTGGAAGAAATGTCCATCTGGGTTCAGTTCCAAATGGGATGAAAGACACTGGAAACATGGAGATTGCTTGGAAAGATGGTTTAATGGTGGACAGCAGGACCACATGATTTGAGGTCCTGGGCAAAAAGTACATGGGTGAGAGAGGGAAAAAGATTTATAACCTCTGTTGGGCTTTGAACTTGCTTCCTGTTCCTTTGGCAAGAAATGTGTCCTGATTGGTTGTCAGACTCCCATGGGCCCATGCAGGGGTAACTTGTAGATTATCTTGAGTCCTAAATTTGCTTGAATTTTGCTGGGTGATGTAATCTTCCCAGGTGCCGTGTGATGAGATGGGTAGAGGCCTAATCCTATCATGTCTTGAGGGCCATATCTTAAACCCATCACCCTGGAGCTGAAGGTCTTTTGTATTGTGGATAAGATGCCTTTTGTCTTTCTGGGGCTATTAACAAAGGTGGGCTGCTTTCAAAGAGCATGTTTCTTCTTTTCTCATCCAGAAAGTTTATTCTGCCTTCTTAATATTTCCTAGAATATTTCATTCTTCTAGGAGAGGGGTGGGTGCTAACTTTCTACACTATAAAAAGGAAAACATGGGATTGGGGTGTTCTCTCTCCCTTTTACATAGAGAGACCCCACTTTATCAGGGTAGTCTAATAAACTGTTTTAAAATGATCTTCCAACTCAATTGCTTATTGGGAAAATAAACTGAGGCAGAATCAAGAGCCAGATTTGGCTTTCAGTATACATGTAGCACCTGAATTCTATTAATTTATATCCTGCCTTTGTTATTTTTACACATAACTCAAGATGACAAATATCCAACACATTTTCCTCCTCCAATTTTGCTCACAACTCTGTGAGGTGAATTGGGCTGAGAAAATGATTAATCCAAGATCACTCAGCTGACTTTTATGGCTAAAATGGGATTTGAAGTCATGACCTTTTGTTTTCTGGTGCCTTAACTGCTAGGCCAAATTGGCTCACAATGTAAGGCACCATTCTTCCCCACTTCCAATTAAAATGGTCTCAATCACTTTTCCAGCAGAGCTCCTTGTGGATGTTGTTTCCTAGAGATTGCTATAGATTGGTTACCCCACCCCACCCCCAAGTACAGGGATGGATATATCCTTAAGTAAAATTAAATAGTAAAAACATCTGCAGTGTTGCAGATAATCTAACAGTCATTACATTGAGGGCTGTCTCTATTCCCTTACTTCTTCATTATAACATCAAACACATATATGACTACTTGGCAGCCTAAGCAGACAGGTTTCTGTTCCAAGGAATTTATGAAATAAAATGTAATGAATAAATAGAGGAGGGATGTAGAGAGTTTATATTTATTTAACCTTGCTACATATGTAATTACAGTAGTGTTAGAAGAATTATCCTTCTGGGTTCAGTTCCAAGTGGGGAAAAAGACACTGGAATCATGGAGGCTGTTTGGAAAGATGGTTTAATGGTGGACAGGACCACATGGCTTGGAGCTCCAAACTGAAAAGGACGATCACATGCTTCAAGATGTTGAATGAAGGAAAAGAAGGAAAAGGGCTGAGATGCTGAGCATGCCTTAGTTATATACCCTCTGTTGGGCCCCACCTTAGTGTTTCCTGTTCCTGTGTAAGAAATGTATCCCATTGGCTTTCAGACTCCCATTATTATTTGCAAAAAAATGAAGATTTCCTATTTAGCTTGCAGAGCTTGGATTCATTGAATGAGTTGTATATAAATTTTGCAGAATATACAGCCTCATGCTACATAACTACTCCCCATTTCATGCTGAATAACCTAAATTATTAATGTATCTTAAATTAAATTATCTTTAGTTAGATTTTTACTCCAAAAACATTTTATTAAAATAAATTTGATTTAAAAAAATCTGATTTAAATTTTAATAATTTTTTTTTTTTTTGAAAAAAACATTGATTTTTATCCACCCTGGCTAATTTTGATGTAATTAGAAGCGTGATAGGCCCTTATTTCAGAAAGAGGCCAATTTTATAATTTATTTTTTGAAGCTCAGTAGGTTCCCCCCCTCCCCAAATTAATACATTTCAGTTGGCTTTATCCTTGCAGCAACACATCCATCAATCATGGATGTGAATACAATTGCTTTCTCATGGCATTCAAATACTTTTTAATTGCAGTATCAAATAATGTTGCCCAATTAATTCCACACCTTGTGCTTTTTCTTTGAAAGATTCATTTTTTTTCTTTTTCTTTTAACAGGGGCACTCCAACTAATAAGAATGGGCATTCATGGCCTAACAAGCTTTGTAGGGGAACATAGCGAATTCTTTGTTGATCTGCATCTGAGAAACATAGATGTAATAATTGATGGAAATAATTTGTATCATCACCTTTATTTTGATTCAAATCTGGATATCCGGCATGGTGGGGATTATGATTCTTTTGCCGATATAACACGTCAGTTTTTTCAGTCATTGGCTGCATGCCACATACAGCCATATGTTGTGCTGGATGGAGGTAATGATGCATCTAATAAAAAATGTGCAACCTTAAAGGAACGAGCTAAGGAAAAGATCCAGGCAGCCCATTCTCTTTCTCATGGTGGTGGTGGAAGTTTATTGCCTTTGCTTGTCAGAGAGGTCTTCAAGCAGATTCTAACTGAACTACAAGTGCCTTTTGTACAGTCATTTTCAGAGGCAGACAGGGATATTGTATCTTTAGCCAATCAGTTGAGTTGCCCTGTGTTAACTTTAGATAGTGATTTTTGCATTTTTGACCTCCAATCAGGCTATTGTCCTCTAAATTATTTTCAGTGGAGAAATCTTTGCAAATGTAAAGACTCACAAGAATGCTACATCCCAGCACGGTGTTTCTCATTAGAAAGATTTTGTAGACATTTTAATATGAACAAAACCCTGCTGCCTCTTTTTGCAGTAATGAGTGGCAATGACTACATAAATCTGCCAGCTATGGAAGTGTTTTTTAATAAAATACACCTTCCTATAAAGAAATCCCGGCGGAAGAGTAGAAAGCATGACCGCATTCAGGGACTGCTGAACTGGTTATCTCGTTTTGCTGATCTTTCTGAGGCAATGGAAAATGTATTGAAGTATTTTAAAAAGCATGAAAAAGAAGACATACGACAGCTTCTCTCTTCTTTCATGGGAGAATATGAACCATCTAATGTCAATCTCAAAGATTTTTTCCAGAGTGGTATGTATGAATCTGAGGAAATGAAGAAATTAAAATTACCACAGTGGATTGAAACACACTTAATTAAAGGACAACTAGCACCATTTGTCAGTGATGCTCTTATATTAAGAAGTACCATCCTTCCTGTTCAGGTAGAGAATATGCAGCGAGATAGTGCTCATTCCATAACTTTGCCAATTAGACAGGTTATCTATTGGTTACTGTTGAACATTGCACCAAGTTCCCTTAGTCCCCCTTTGAACAAACAGCCAACTTCATTTCCTCCTGTCTTCTATGAATTTGATAGACTCCAAAAATCACTCAAGAAATCATCTGTTCATGTAGCAGAACTGGCACAGAAATTTCCAGACAGCTGGTATGCTTTGTCTACATTAAATGAGGTAAATACTCAAAATGACGTGCTTAAACATTTCCAGTACAGAAAACATATGAAACATACTGGGCAGATTGATAAATCATTTTTTAAAGTTAGATTTTACCTCTAAAACTGAAGATACATATTGAAAAGCATGAATAATCCTGTTGACTCTTAATTATATTGATGCTTAATGCCTTGAGAGATAGGAAGCAGTTCTCTGTGGATTCTGATTCTTTTTTCAAATCAAATCAAATGTTTATTGTCAATGCACAACATGTGTACAATGAAATTGAAATTTCCTATCTATGGCTTGCAAAATAATATACATTTATGCTTTTCATACAAATTACACAATTTTTCAGAATCTCTTCCAAATAAAAGAAGCTAGGAAAAAATATTTTCCATGGTTGTAGAACATTTCTTCGTGTAAAATTTGGAATGTTCTCACAAAAATTTTCATCACTGACTTCTAGAAAGAGACATATACTGTAATTAATGGATATATTAAATAAATGATAAAATCAAGAATGTTTCAGTAACCTGTGAGAAAGACTTTTTATGGTTCTATTGGAACTCTTTATGGTTCAGGAGATAGGGTATACAAATTGTTGTTTTTTTTGGGGGGGGGGGGGGGGGCTACAGAGAAGAAAAATTTCAATAAAAATATTCAACAGTATTCGCACTAGGTTATTTTTTACATTTTTGAGGTACCAAAACTATGGAGTCCGGCATTCCATAAATGCATTGAATCTATTCTGTGGCTTTTATTGTCCTGAGAAATAAGTATATTTACATTTTTAAAGGAAATTACGGAAATATTGAAAATAATATTGAATAAAATATTGAAAATAATTTGTGATTGATATCTACACTGCAAAATTTATATAGAAGACCCCTTTAACTATTGCTGTAGGATTACTAAACAATGCAGCAGAATTCCGTATGGAATATATATGACATAAAAGACAGCAATATTTGGGGTGGGGAAAGAGATTGACGGTTTTATCCAAGGCAGAATGTTCATTAATAATTCAACTCCCCAAAACAGGCCAAGTGGAAGAATTAATCACATGCAAGTATTAATATTTCTGTAAAGAACCTCACTGTGATCATGTAGATCCATCAAATAAAATTATAAATAAGTTTAAAATTAAAAATTACTTGGGAAACAGTATTTTTCTTGAAAGTGTTAACCATTTATTTGTAGGCACCCATCGCAGAGCGTCTTCTATTTTTGTTTGAGGTGTTTGGAGTATCAGCCTGTATCCTTGAACCAGTTCCTTGTTTGCTGCAGCTTCTTATGGCTGTAACCTGTTACTGGACCCAGTTTTCAGAACCCAAACTGACACTACAGCACATCAAGGCTTTACTACTTGGAGTAACATTTGGGGAATTAGGTAAGATGTTGCACATTCCATTAGAGAGGATCAGGTTTAGTTGACACATGGATTTTCCCAGCCAAAGGCAATAGTTCATTTGGTTCAATTTTGTTGGTATCAGATATATTTTAAGTAAAATTATGAAATGCATGCCAAGAGGTTTTGTATTATAAAAGTATCTTTAGTACTTCATAAGAAGTTGGGAAGAACATTCAGTTGGGAATAAACATCCAGTCCAAATTTCCCTTAGTGGTTACTGTTACAGAAATCATAAATTATTCTTCCAATTAATATTTTACTTTACTACTTATGTTTTTGTTTTTAATTATGCTCAGTTTACACCCCAGAGCATAAAGGAGATTTCTTCTGATCCAGATTAAGCAATCCCATTTCAGGATATCCAATATTGTGGGCATCCGTAACAATGTTATAGTGGGGAGGAATTGCAGGCTAGAAGCCAGCCTGACTAAAAGAAATGTTTTTACTTTCCAAATAAAAATATGGAAATCATTGTAGAAATTTAATTTATCTAATATTTAAAGCTGATGTAAGAACACTGAAGAATTTGATAATTGTATCATGCATCTCATTAGAATTATTAATTCTAAAGTATACCCCAACTTTGTAGGATGTGGACAACAGAATATTGACTTGCAAATAGTCGGTAAATTTGTATGCTAGTTTCCCTAGAATATAGCATGGTGCTTGTAAAAACAAAACTTGGGTTGCAATTGTAGCATAATGGCTGAAGTGCCAAAATTAACCAGTGTTATAACATTAAGAAAGAAAGGAGATGATATATCCCATAAATGAAAGTCTGAACTGAAATTGAGTTGATTACCACGTGTATTTATTTAGTTTTTGTATCACGGTTCTTAGTCCATGTGTACGTTAATATATGTATGCATGTTGCTTACTTAATCAAAGTAGTAATAGATAAGAGAAAAAGTCATCAATGCTGTAAGAGGAAAAGAAAAATACAGTTATTTAAATTAAAGCACCTACAGTTTGGGTATAGTAAAAGTATAGTATAGCAAATGGATTCTTTTCATAGCCTCCCTGGCAAAAAAAATGTTTTTGCCAAAAAAATGTTATGTGATTTTAAGATGATAATTATAGGCTGTTCATGAAAAAAAGGATTAGCTAAGTAACTATTTTTCAGTAAAACCCATCAGCTGTAAAAATACTTTTCCAAGCTTCCTTTATTTTTGTAACACTATTCCAATATAAGGAGAGGTACCCAAATTTAAGATAGTAAATAAAAAAGGGCCATGATTTTTATGTTCTAAAAATTTAGAAATTTTGGTATCCATTCTTACTTAGTGTACATTCAATGAAAATAAAATCATTCAGTGTCAGGAAATATTTTTTCTTTCAAATCTAGATCCTGAAAGATCACATGCTGAGGTCAATAAAATTGTACATGAACAGTTCTTGAAATGGAAAGAAAATAAATCCCCAAAAGATTATTTGGAAATAGATGTTGCACACACTTTCTGCCAGTGGCAGTGCTGCCTGCAAGCAGGACTGCATCTCAACCAGCTGCTTTGTAGACCTCTCCCTGAGCCAGATCTTACACGGTAGGTTTCCCCAAAACATCACATTTGTATATACTTGCTCCAAAGGATGCTCCTCTAATTTCAATACAATATTAGAATGTGCATATAAAAATGTTATTCAGAGGTTCAACACTTTTTCGAAAAGTATAGTTGTAATTTATCAAATTAATTGCACATTTGTGGCATTATACTGTTTCTGTACTTTTCGGGCAGTTTGGAGGTGTTGGATTAATAACAGCAGTGGCAATATTTTCTATGATCACAAAGCCAAAAATGCTATTATATAAAGCTAAATATTTTCAGTAGCAAATTTGAGGAAAAGAGTAGAAATAATTGAATTAAAAATACAGTATATAACTACTATGGAGTCCTTGATGCTCTTTGAGCTTGGTTGTTTGTTTGCTTGCAGATGTTTCATTACTTGATTAACATCATCAGTTTCCCTGATGTCAGATAATGAAATGTTTGCAAGAGAAAAAGCAATTAAGCTCAGAGAATGCCAAGAACTCCACAGTTCAACTCTGAGCTATAGATATTTGCTTCTATTTGCTAGAACCACTACTTGCCAACAGTATCACTTTCTAATTTGTATATATTACTAGTAGCATTTGTTTTGTTTTGCAATAATTTTTTTTTGTTACAACAAAAATCGATATGTGAACAGTGTGGTTCCGTAGTGTCTTACATTTTAATAAAAATATGACAATATTAATATAGTTGACAATTTTTCAGATTTGATATTAATACATATAGTTATTAAATTATCAATCTTAATTGAATAAATATTACAGTATGTTATTTTTATGGCAGTCTATATTCTTAACCTCACTCCTTTTACTACCAATTATATATCAATAATCATATTTGCAGGATTTACCTAATTATATAATTCTAATAGCATTCACAAATTTATATTAAATTATAAATTTCTATTATCTATCCTCTTATTAATTTCTGAGTATGCCACTTATATTTCAAAAAGAAAAATTCCCCTATCTAGTCACATTTTAATACAAATACAGTGGCAGTGCTGCCTGCAAGCAGGATTGCATCTCAACCAGCTGCTTTATAGACCTTTCCCTAAGCCAGATCTTGCATAGTAGAGGTTTCATCATTCTTACATTTAACGATTTATACAATTCTAATACCATTATATTTTTATTAAATTTTGCCTTTCGTTGTCTTATATAATATTTCACAATGTTTTTCTTTTTTTCTCCTGCTTTCTTGTTGTTTGAATCTCAGTTTCCACCTCTGCGTCCATGTTTTTTACTTTATTCAAAATGTTCTCAAATCCTCTTGCCAGTGTATCTTTTATTCTTCCCAGCTAATTGTCCAACTGTCCTTTATCCAAATCAAAGCCACTTTTCAAACTAGAAAAAACAATGTCCAATATCCAAGGATCTTTATGTGCAAAATTAATCAATCTAATCTTTTAAATGGTCCAAGGGTGAAATCTTTATTCTTCCCTCTACAAATTGAGTCTTATATTGTAGCTTTCAGGGGTCTTTTAATAATAAAATTCTCACTTTTAATTATCATAATACCACACTTTGTTGTTTCTTCTTTTGACAGTAGGTGGCGCTCTTAAATCAGTTTTCACTTTATTCCAAACTTTAAGTCCGGTTTTCTATATTTTAAGATAATAATTTTTTACTCCAATAGCTAGAACACAGCCACTTAATATATTTATGAGTCCATTTTTCTGAATATTCCTCTCAGGGTTATATTTAAATTAAAAAGGATAGTTCTCACCCAGTTGCACACTGTTATTAACTCTGCCCCTGCACTCATCTTAAGGTGAAGCTGCCTCCGGCTGTGTGGTGGCCATTTTGGCCGCCTCTTCGTGTCATGGCTTAGAGAGTAATAGCCTGGGGGCTCAATAGGGAAGTTGTGTTCTCCCCAGGAACCTCACAAGGCACCTCTCCCTTTGCTTCACCACCCCTCCAGGTTAGTTTTGGCTCCCTCGAGCCCACAAACACAGAAAGCCAGCATAGGGATGGAAACTCCATTCCCTTGCTAGTGTTGCCACAACATCACTTCCGGTCTCCCCCTACTAGTAGCATTTGTTAAGCATATCACTTCAGCCTTTTCTTTTTTCAAAGATGATTCATGTTTTGCTTTTGGGAAATCTATGACAATGAAAGTATTTTTAAACAATCTATTTTCTTTCTAATCTTATATAATGCTATTGTGAGCATCTGTTCCAAGATTCAAAATACACGCATACAAGCATGCTTCCGTATCTTATTAACAGATTTGCATTAAAAATTTCAGAATATCAAGAGTAAATGTGAAGCATTTGCTTCAATTCAAACAATTGGCCCACAGCCCATTCTAGTGCCATGGTTTAGCTTTTCAATTCCAGACAGGTGTTTATTTAATTCTTACCTAGATGTAATGGAATTTTCCCACAGAAATTTTAAAAAATATGGGAGACAAGTCTCATATCTTTAGTTCTTTTTTTGAAACCTGACCTAAAAATAGGCCACTCACCCAATGGTTGATGCTACTGAATAGGGATGTTCAATTCTCACTGATTTGGGATACATTTCTAAAATTCTGTTTTCACTTTGTCATTATGGGGTACTGAGTGTAGATTAATGAGAAAAAAATGAATTTCAACAACTGTAGAATCAGGCTGCATCGTAACAAAATTGACGAAAGTGAATGAGTTACTGAATGCTTTCTAAATGCACTCTAGTATTTTCCCAAACAAGGTTTTAATTATAGAGTTTATATAAAACCCAGTTAGGGCACAGCAAGATCTTGGAAAGCAAAAACTGTCAAACTTGGCCAATTCTAGAATGGAACACCAATAGGAAATTCCAGAACTGGAAGATAGATTTGGAAAGTGTAAAACCAGTCAATGTCATCCTCTTCAGAACCAGTGGTTGGGGCATAGACTTGGACTACTGTGATGTTGAATGATTTGCCTTGGATTCGAACTGAGATCATTCTGTCATTTTGGGGATTGTATCCCAGTATTGCTTTTCCCATTTTTTTATTGACTATGAAGGCTACTCCATTTCTTCTGAGGGATTCTTGCCCACAGTAGTATACCTGATAGTCATCTGAATTAAATTCACCCATTCCTGTCCATTTTAGTTCGCTGATTCCTAAGATGTCAATGTTCAGTCTTATCATCTCATTTGACCACATCCAGCTTTCTTTGATTCATGGATCTTACATTCCAGGTTCTTATGGAGTATAGATCTTTACAGCATCGGACTTTCCTTTCACCACCAGATACATCCACAGCTTTGGCACAGCTTTCAGCTTTGGCCCAGTCTCTTCATTCTTTCTGGCGCTACTAGTATTAGTCCTCTGTTCTTCCCCAGTAGCATATTTGATACCTTCCCACCTAAGGGGCTCATCTTCCAGCGTCATACTTTTTTGCCTTTTGGTACTGTCCATAGGGTTTTCATGGTAAAGATACTGGAATGGGTTGCCATTTCCTTCTCCAGTGGATCATGTTTTGTCAGAGCTCTCTGCTATGACCTGTCTGTCTTGGATGGTCCTGCACAGCATAGCTCATAGCTTCACTGAGCTACACAAGCCCCTTTGCCATGACAAGGCAGGAATCCATGAAGGAGAGTATCACCATTAGTTCAGCTTAATGCAAGGGAGTTTATTTTTAAGACAAATCTGAAAAGACGTTTGTATAAAGGGCTTTGGATTGTGCACTCTTAATGATTTTCCTTGTTTGATTTGTTGTGGTTTTTAACACATAGCTCCCAAGTTCTCCTACACAAAACCACTTTTCTTTTTCATCTTTGACAGGCTTTATAATGGGACCCTTGTCCATAGGTTGTATCATCAGCTTAAATCCAGTTCCACACCAGAGAACCTCCTCAGTACATCCCCAAAGATCTACAAGCTTTATTGCAGCATGGTACAGATAGTCAAAGATTCAACACCACCAGGTTTCTTTCAGAAGTCAAAATCCCAAAGGAAAAAGAATAAGAAAATTGTCAGTAAATTGCCAGATATACGAGAAAGCACTATGATGGACACTCTGCCTTTCTGTAGTACTAACAGGTTTGCAACACTGGCAATAGAGAACTGAAAGCTCAGTATTCCAAGCTGGTTATTGATATTTATCTGTCTTTGGGTTTGAGAAGTTATTTCTCAAAAGAATTAAAGAAGTAATGCTATTATAATGAATTTATTCCTTTGGTAATTGAGGAACATGAAAAATTGCCGAATTGTTTCTAATATTGGATAAATTTTCAGAAGATATTTAAAAAAACTAATCTTACTTTGGAAAAGTTTTCTGAAAGATGTTTCAAAGCCTACCTATTGTGCCATCTTTTTCATTGTTTTTTTGTAAATGTTTAAGGAAATTACTTAAAATAATACTGTAGATATTTTATTTTATTTTTTTGCTTCAAGATCTTATAAATCTTATAAGGTCTTATAAATCTTATTGAACAAAAGAGACACTTTAGCCCAGGAGTGTGGGGAAAATTGAGGAAGAAACTCTGTCATAACCTCATTAGGTATAACTTGATCCGAAGAATCAGTGACAGGCTCTCAAGACTTACTTATCCTACTAAATTATTATTATTACCTTTATTGTCAGAGTACAATATGTGTACAATGAGATTGGCAGAGCTTCTCTTCTTGCATTCAACACAACTCACAGTGAGGACAGAAGTCTTTAACCCGGTTCCAATCTTATTATACTATGTGACCTTGCTGTACAACGTGCCGGCCCCACAAGTCTATCATACTATATTGACATGAAGTTATTTTCCGTTCAGTACTAGGCTTCAGGGAGGTGGATGTGACAGCCCCAGCCCTCACTGTTTGTGGTCGGTCCCTCAGAAAGTCTTTGATCCAGTTGTAGATGAAAGAGGGAAAATCCAAGTCAGTCGCTTTTCGATAAGGATACTCAGCAGGATAGTATTGAAGGCCAAGCTGTACTCAATGAAAAGCATCCTGACATAGTTTCCAGGTTTCTCCAGATGGCTCGCTACAGAATGTAAGGCAGTAGCTACAATGTCATCTGTCAACCAGTTCCCCCTGTAGGCAAACTCATGTTTGCTAATTGATCGGGACAAGTCTTTACCACTATCCCCAGCACCCTACCTGGACCTTTACTGGGATTCACAGCCTTCAGTGCAGCTCTCATGTTCGTATATGGTGAGTGGCTGAGAATCAAAAGGCTGGCAGGCAGAGGCTACAAGGTCTGGTCTTTTCACCTCATAGCAGGGAAAGATGATGTTCAATTCCTCTACCAACGAGGCATCAGCATTGATCGTGTTCCTCATATTGCCCTTATAGCTAGTTAGATGCTGCAGTCCCTGCCACATTTGCTTCATGTTGTTACCTGCTAGATGGTTCTCCACCTTATATTTGTATTGTTGTTTTTACTAGCAGTAAAAACTCTTTTCAGAATACAAGTGACACTTGTTTTCCGAGTTTCACAGATTAAAAAATGAATAAATAAAATATAGAAGTCTACTTTTTAAAGGCTTTTTAAAAAAGATAAGAAATCTGAGTGTCAAAAGACTCTGATATGCAGGAAAAACTTATGTAGTTTAAAATTCTTCTGTTAAATAGTATAAAAATGTATTAGTGGTTAATAATGGTTTCCATCAGCCATTCAATATTAATCAGGAAACAAACTCCATAAGCAGTAGTGGTATCTACTTGCAAGATAAAATAACAAACTTGTGCCATGGACAGAATCTTTTTATACAAAAAGAGTCAAAGTGGGGTAATCTTAAATTGCTTGTTCCCCAACTTCTCTCTTTTGGGGCTAAGCTGCTGTTTATGTAACCCTCTTCAAGTTTATGTTCATAATCCTCTACTGCAGCAGTCACCAACTCCTGGTCTGTGGACCACTGGTGGTCTGTGAGATTTTGGTGGTCTGCAGAAAAATTATTTGCATGTGGAAGTTTTTGCACTGGAAGTTTTTCTAAAGAAGAGATTGGATAACCATTTGTCTGAAGTGGTCTAAGTTTTCCTGCCTAAGCAGGGGGTTGGACTAGAAGAGCTCCAAGGTCCTTTCCAACTGTTTTTCTATTCTATTCTAAATATTGGAAAAGTGCTATTTTATTGAGTTGGACTAAGAAGAAATTTCCTAAGGGTGAGACCAATCAAATTGGGCATGACCACCTGTCACATGATTACCCAGCCACGCTCACCCAGTCATTAGGGCAGAGAACCAATTGTTAAATTATTTGAATCCCAGCATTGAGTAGTATCATTGATGTGAGTATGCTATGGTGTTTGTGTCCTACATTTGGGCGTCCCAAGATATTTGATTGGATGCTATGAGAATAGAAAGTGGAATGGATAGATTTTTGGCCTGATCTTACAAATCTTTAATTTGAAAGACAGGAGAGTCGAGAGATAATTGAAAGGTATAAGTTAATAACTTCAATTAAATAAAACATTTAGATTACTGTGGAAGTGGAAAACAATTTTGTGATCCAGTTACATATAAAATGCAATCACATATTTTAAGAAAAGCAAACATTTACTTGGAAATTGCAATATAAGACTTTTCCATCACAAAAAGAAAGAAAAGACAGTGATCTGGCAGTTACATCCTGTGCAAAAAAGGATCAGGATACAAAAAGAAAAACCCACGGTACACAGTGCAGAGTAGAAATAGATACAGGAGCTGAAAAATGCACTCTTGTAATTCAGTCTAAATAGATGGCATGCCTTAAATATTTCCATAATCAAACCCCGTCACCTTCACCATAAAACTTATTTCATCTAATTTATATTTCTATAGACATACATCTCTTTTAAGAAAAAAAGGTGTGCCAAACTCTTGATATAGGTTTCTTTTTAAAGTAGTCTTTCTCATATTACAAAGTTCCATCAATCTGGAAAGTAAAATTATCTTCGAGGAAAAAAATATTACCAAAGTTGCATAATTTATTACTCCCTAACTGAAAGTTTAGAATTAAACAGTCTTTAATTTTATCAAAGTTCGTTATCCTTCAGGGAGAAGGGTTTATCAAAAGCCCTTTATATTGTTTCTCCTGTTTACATAAATAGCAGTTTCTAGTTACACAAAGAATGCAATGTGCATCATACATCAAGAAACGATTCCAAGTGTGGTGATCTACCATGCTTTTGGGTCTTCTCCCTGATTTTTTCAAGCTTCTTTATGATTTCTGATATTATACACACGGAAGAGGTAAGGCCCAGAAGAAACTGCAAATCTAAAAATAAATGAAAACATTACTTCAATTCACAGTTACAAGAAAGAAATTATAGTCTGCCTACTTTTTAAATACTTAAAAGTACTGATAAAAGATTGGGTTTTTAATTTTAACCTGGAAGGGGTTACAATTTTTTTTAGGACTACTGAAAAGTTCAAAACTTTATTTTTAATGTACATTAAATTGTTTTGGGCAACTGATCAGTTCAATAGCTTCTCAAAAAAAAATCTCTGTGTCCTGAATCTAACAGAAGTTGGTCAGAGGACCAGATCAATCCTGTTCTCAGAGTAAGTTAATGTTAATGAATTATCACAAGCTCATATTGTTGAACAATCCAAAGAATAGAAGGGACACATTAACCTCCTCGTTTCCCATTTGTGAACATTCTTTATTCATACACCAGTTAGCATGCTTTATTCACACCTATCCCTCAGATCCTAGTTTGAAATAAATCATAATTTACTATTTTTTAGCTGGGCAAGTCTTCCAACAAGCTGTAAAAGAAAAACTGCGGTATGAAGAAGGAAGAATGAATAAAACTGTTCCCCCCCTTTTAATTTATGTAATGCTGAATGTGCAAGAAGGAAGAGGAAGAAATAACTTCAGATGTCAAATTTAGTAGGAGAGAAATGGGAAAAATATAATTTAAAAAGTTGATAAACAAAAGATTCTATTACAAAATATGATGCTTTATGTACAGTTTTATACATGTTTATACAACACATTAAAACTAAAAGATTTCATTCCGAAAACCAAACTTAGCTATGCTTCCTTACCTGTTATGCTTAGACTTTCTGTCTGAAAAACTTTCTGAAGTGGAGGGAAATAGATTACTAGCAGCTGACCCATTATGGATGCAAGGACTGCATAACAGAACATCTTGTTGCTGCAAAGTCCAATCTCAAACACTGATTTAGTCTGGAAGTTAAAAAAAAAGAAATTCCAGTTATTTATTCCATAGTTAATTGAAATCAAAACTCTTAGTAAACTAAATATAACAAAACATTTTTCTATAAACTCCATGGAAACATGAGCTAACTATGGTCTTAAACATACTACTGATGATTTATGTATCTTTTTTTCCAAAAATATTACATAAAATTTTCAAATCAGATGAACACGTACCTGAGATCTAGAACTCAATGCATTAAACATATCAAAAAATACAAAGCAAGTGAAAGTCATTGTTGTATCTCTGGGCGTTATAACATTGTCTCGTAGCTGCCAAAAAAAAGAAAAATCTATAAATTATAAATTTATAAAGTTCACTAATAATTTATGAAAACATTTTGATTGTAACTTTTCCTCAAGATTTGAAATGTTAGTATCATGAAGAAAATCTAACTTTAGGTACTTCCCTCTTGGCTGATTTGGGAGGATAATGATACTAGTAATAATAACTAGTAATAATAATATGGTGGTGATGATGATATCCATTTACTTCAAGTGTTTTTGTGCAATTCTGTTACACTCTGATTTTCAGCCTTCCATCCTAAATTGTGCACCTGCTCAGTTCAGAAAGTACTACTCCATCCAGTGTCAAAGATCAAGAATCATCTGATTGTTGGTGTGTGCGTATCAAAATAGCCATTCTACCTCTCTGGGGTCCTTCCCATTTAGAACCTTAGAGCTTCTAACACTGCCAGCATCATCACTGCATCTGTTAGCACAACTAACAATTTAGAATCTGGCTTATTAGTCAACAAAGTGTTCAGAGTTTGTTTGACTAATTCCCCATTTTTTATTTCCGTTTTTTCTCCATTTTCTTTTACCTATTATCAGACTAAAACCAAACATCTACATAGGGTGTTTCTTTCAACATCATGTAATTATTTTTAAAAAGTAAGTTATGCATCTGTAAAATCTCAAAAAAATTGCATGCTGGTCTTTCTCAGGCCATAACCTTTTTTAAAAAAAAACTTCAGAAAAATTTAACTATCAAATATATTAGTTGGTATTCAAATCTGACTGTTGTTATTTGAAGAGCTGCTAGAAATTCCTGTTTTATAAGTTAATGTTATATATTTTGTATGATGCGATCCCGTATTATTTCAATACTAATTTTGAAAATCTTTCTTCCCTTAGAAAACCAATATGCCATGGACATTTAAGGCTGTTATTCAAAAATCCAGAATCATAGCTTT